AAAAACAGTATTACAACTATAGACATGCGCGAGCACGAATGACAATCGAGTGTGCATTCGGCATAGCTTCATCAAAGTTTCGAATTCTATTAAAATCAATAGAAACAAAAGTAGAAAACGCGGATCATATTGTAAAGGCTATTTGTATTTTACACAATACAATAATAGATTTGGAAAAAAAATCATCAACACAACATTACGCCCTAGACGATTACGAAACAGACATATCGAAGGGCCATAATCAAATGATATCGCTGAATTACAAAGGCAGAGCCAACAATCGAGCGTCAAGTACCGCAATTAATATAAGAAATAGATTTGTGAAGTATTTTAAAGATAATAAAATTTAAAAATAATTTTCTACAAACATTAATATCGCAATCCTCACGGGACACCCTGTATTTTATAATCATTTCCAAGTATGTTAATACATATTTTGTCACTATACTATTCCAATAATTATAATTTTTTTAAATAATAAAATAAAATTGATACTTATTATAACAAATGTTGTGAAAAAATTTTTTTTTCGGGATCTGCATGCCAAATTAATTACGAAATTTATTTCATATCTGTATGTTTAAATGTTTTTATACTATTCAAACTATTTTGAACTATTAATATAATATAATAATTATTTAACAGACTTACTATTCATATGTACTGTTCTGGCAACAGCTTCCCATTCTTTCTCAGACATCAATCTGTCCCTATACTTTTTATTAAACTTATTCCAGAGAACATTTCTTTTTTGTACCTCGGATATAAGGAGCTCCATATTGACCATGGTTAAAAAGTTAAAACAAAGTTAAAACATCCGCTTTGATATACGTCTAGTCGCTTCAACGCGCGACCAAAAACAAAACGATTTGATTTTCAAACCTTGCGGCGAACGCGAACGAATGAATTCGTTCGCGTCGCCCGTGTTTATCGCGTACGATGGACAATCTAATCTATTTTTATATATTTGATAATTTTTTTCGCCGCGTCGCTCGCACCGCAACGCGTTTACCGCGTTCGCCGCGTTCACGTAGGACATAGCGTAAACATTCTCCCCCCGTTGAAAATTCCTGTTTTCAACCACCATGCTGTCGGTTTCCGTTGGCAGGACACACAATTTTACGACGGGTCTTTTCATCTGAACTCCCGCTGCAGTCCTAAGAGTGACCACTCTAATTTCGCCGTCCTTTCCGGATGCAAGTCAACTACGACTCCCAACTTCCATCGCATCGGTGGCGCAGCTTCATCCTTTATTATTACTACATTTCCGACTTGTATGGGTGATGTTCTTGAGAACCATTTTCCTCGTACCTGAAATTGAGGCAAATACTCTGATTGCCACCTCCTCCAAAATGTTTGCATTAGCAGCTGTACATATTTCCACCTCCGTACCTGGCTAGGGCTCTCGTTGATTAAGCATGGCTCCGGCGGAAGAGACATTGCTCTGCCAATTAAAAAATGAGCGGGGGTTAATGCTTCAGCATCAGATGGATCACTGCTCATCGGGGTTATAGGACGGGAATTTAGACATGCCTCAATTTGACACAGTAATGTACTTAATTCGCTCAAGGTTAGCTTTGCCTCTCCCATCATTCTCGTCAGATGATGTTTAGCACTCTTTACAGCGCTTTCCCATAAACCACCGAAATGTAGCGCGGATGGGGGATTAAAGCGCCATTCGATTCCTTCCTGAGCCATTAAGCTGCCAACACTCTGGACATAAGAACTCAACTCTCTTTGAGCTCCAACAAAGTTAGTGCCATTATCACTATAAATAGTCTTACAGCGTCCTCTTCTAGCCATAAAGCGACGTAGGGCTGCAATAAAAGCCTTGCTAGTGAGATCTTCTACCGCTTCCAAATGAACGGCTCGTGTTGCAAAACACACAAACACTGCTATCCATGCCTTAATTCCCACTACTCTGCGAGCACCACTACGAATTATTAATGGTCCTGCGAAATCGACTCCAGTAACAGCAAATGGATATGTGCCTTGAACTCTTTGTTTCGGCAAGGGAGCCATGAATGGCTCTGTGAAACGTGGTCTTGCACGCACGCACTTTACACATTTTAATACACTAGAACGAGCACTCGCTCGCCCTCGCAACGGCCAGTACTGTCTCCGAACTTCAGCCAACAACACTTGTGGCCCGCAATGTAACTGCTCTGCATGCTTCTGTCTAAAGATTAACTTCGTGACCTTGTGCTCAGCTGGTAACACCATCGGATGCTTGTATGTCTCAGGAGCCTCGGCATTATTCAACCGACCACCAACCACAATCAATCCATTCTTCATAAAAGGATTTAAGCTTCTTAACTTACTTCGCACGGGTATTTCCTTGCCTTCTATGAGGGCGTGTACTTCAGTACAAAACATTTCACTTTGAACTCTTTGTAATATCCACCTTTCAGCGCGCCTTAGCTCACTCACAGAATGGTACGGCAACTGCGATGTAGAATTTCGATCCTTCACATAATCCATAAAGCGTAACAGCCAGGCGACTCCTCGCTTTAATTTATTCCAATCAGAGTAATGCTGTATGATCGCGTGCGTGTTCTTACTTACAATCAGCGCTAACTTTAAGCCTCTTCTTTCCGGTAGATCTTGTTCCTTCAATACTTGTTGCAAGCGTGGAACCCATGCACTTTCTTCCATCCTTAACCAGCTCGGACCCTGCCACCATAGTGTCGATGTAATTAAAGCTCGTGCACTAATCCCTCGTGATATAGCGTCCGCTGGATTATCCCTTGTATTCACGTAATTCCATTGTTTAGCATCCGTTAATTCTAGAATTTGATTTACTCTATTAGACACATACGTCTTCAAGCAACTAGATTGAGCATTTATCCATCCTAAAACCACCATAGAGTCTGTCCACAGTCTACATGACCGACAATCGATACCCCAAGATTCGGAAACTTTCTGAATCAACTCCGCTAAACACAACGCTCCGCTCAACTCTAATCTTGGAATGGTTGCGCCCTTCAGAGGTGCTACGCGACTCTTTGAACACAACAGCTGTGCATTCCAAACACCATTCTGTCCAACTGAGCGAACGTAAACACAAGCACCATACGCCTCTTGGGAAGCGTCACAAAATCCATGGACTTCAAAATCTTTCTTTTTTGCTGTCAGTACTCCTCTAGGAATGTGTATGGATTGAACTTCCTTCAATTCATCGTAAAAGTTGAACCACTTGCCTTGTAGTTCCTTTGATAATATACTATCCCAATCGGCCTTTATTTGCCATAATTGTTGTAGAAATATTTTCCCTTTAACTAAAATAGGAGTCAATAGTCCTAATGGGTCGAAGACACGATTTAAGTCGGACAGGATCGCACGCTTAGTCAACTTGTTCCGCCTTAAACTAGCTGATACGTTAAATTGAAATTCGTCCATAACTGGTTTCCAATATAACCCAAGAGATTTTATAGTGTCTTCATCACCGATTTTTAATGCGAATAGTGGTTCTTTGTTACTATTATTAATTTTATCACGTAAAAATGCGGAATTCGAACACCACTTTCGTAGAGGGAATTTAGCGGAATCCATTATAGAAACTATTTCGCGATGCAATTCTAAACAGTCTTCCTCTTGATCACTTCCAGACATCAGATCATCCATGTAAAAGTCACCTTTAATAGCCTTGGAGGCTCTGGGATTTGTTTTTTCATGTTCTTCGGCCAACGACGCTAAACATTGGGTTGCCATAAATGATGCTGAGGCTGTTCCATATGTCACAGTCATCAAACGATACGTACGCATTTCTTCGTTAGGTGATGGCCTCCAGACTATTCTCTGTAGATCACAGTCCTCTTCTGCTACCTTTACCTGCTGATACATTTTTTCGACGTCTGCGGTTATTACAAACATATGTTTTCGGAAACGACACAAAAAGGTAAACACATCGTCTTGTATGGTAGGACCGCAAAGTAGTACGTCATTGAGTGAATGTCCATTTGAGCTTTTAGCTGATGCATCAAATACCACTCGCACCTTTGTAGTGATACTTGACGTCTTTGCTACTGCGTGGTGTGGTAGGTAGCAAGATCTAAGTGGTATTTCCCTTTCATTAACTTCACGCATATGACCCATTCTTAAATATTCTTCCATAAATTTCACATACTCCAAACGCAAATTTTCGTCACGTTGTAATCTTCTTTCGACGTTTAAAAATCTGGATCTTTCTATGTTTAAACTGTTTCCCAAGCATATTGGTTCTGACTTGACGGGCAATCGAAGTACAAAGCGACCTTCCTCGTTGCGTTTAGCCGTCGCTAAGAAATGTTCCATTGCTTCCTGTGCTTCTATACTTTTCTTGTTGTTTTTAGATAAACTTCCGTAGACTTCATCTTCATATTTACGTAAAGCTGTCCAGTCTTCTTCAATCTCTTGACCGATAGAACAGGTAGATAGCAAGCAATGGGTACTACATTCACCAGTGACTAACCAACCGAACTTAGTGTCTTGCAAACACAAATAGCTGTTACTCAAACGAACTCGTTCGCTTTCTAACAAGTCATAAAAAACACCACCACCTATTAACAGGTCGATCGCACCAGATTCAAAAACTGTGGGGTCCGCTAATTCGTTCACATACTTATTTGGAATTTGCCAACCTTCTGTTGGAGCTGTACATGCCGGTAAATCGTTAATGATTAAGGTAGCACGTAACAACATAAACTTGTATCAAATAATTTTACTCTAGACTTTACTTTAACCTCAACTGCTGCTGCTGATTGTATACTACTTGCACCTATTCCTCTAACTGGTAGTTTGACCCTTTTAGAGCTCAACTTAAGTGTGTTTAACAATTTTTTCGAAATGAAATTAACTTGTGATCCGGTATCCAAGATGGTGCGACACTTAACATTATTACCGTGATCATCCGTTACCCATACTATAGCTGTTGACAAAAATACGTGCCCATTAGTCACCTTGGCAGGAATTGATATCCTTGAATCGCCATTAATTTCTACCAACGGATCATTTTGTACGCTTTCTGATTCGGAATTAGTTGCTTTTTCAAAATGAAGCAGTGAGTTATGTCTCTTTTTACACATTGAGACAACTGTACTTAGATTTACATTTATCTGCCATATGAGCTGGTGAAAAACAGTTGAAGCATAGTCTTGCATGACGGACAACATTCACCCTATCGGAAACGGAAAGTTTTTTGAATGATTCACAATAATAAAGTCTATGTGTTCCTGAGCAATGACCACAGCTTTCGCGCTTATCTTGTTCAGACGCTAACATCCTCTTCTGTTCCGTGGCAGCTAAAGTAATTCTTTTTCCGGTATTGATCCACTTCTTCTTGGTTCCCGTATTACTACTGTCCCATGTTTCTGAATTTTCAAAAGCTATACAACGGCTTGCCAGAAACTCCTCCAATTCCTTATACTTTGGTAGCTCATTGTCCTTACGACGCAGTTGCCATTCGTGACATGTTCCATGGTCAACTTTTCTAAGCAAAACTGTTACTAACCATGCATCCCACATATTTACTGGTTGTCCTAGTGCTTCAAGTGCTGCTACATGTGAAACAATATTCGAATGTAATGCCTGTAGCTGATTTGCAACTGCGGACTCTACTTGAGGAGAATCCAATATTGCACGAATGTGAGATTGTATTACCATACTCCTGTGTTCGTATCGTTGTTGTAACCTTTTTATTGCTATAAGATAATTGTTTTCAGTGATTGGAATTGCCTTAATCACATCCAATGCAGCACCAGAAAGTGAGGATCTTAAATATGCAAATTTCTGAGCTAGGGGTAAATATCTTCATTATGTACCATTGCTTTGAAACAATCAAAATAAGATTCCCATTCTTGTATGTTACCATCAAATTTGGGCAAAGATATTGGTGCCAGCCGAGCTCTATGAACAGATATTGTATTTGTTGAATTATTTTGAATGGACGAATTGTGACTTTTTTCTGCGTTGATTAAATCTTGCATTTCCGATCTAATCGCAAAGTAATTATTTTCAAAGTCTTCTCTTTCAGATTCATTTCCTTCTAGATTTTCAATATCAAGCAGCTCAATTTGAACCTGAATATCGTCGAATTTACGATTAATTGTCGGCAGTTCTTCTTGTCTAAATTCAAGCAAAGTAATGGAATCTTCCCTTACATTGAATTTATTCAAAAATGTGCGAATTCGTGTTAGTGAAGCCTTAATTACACCTCGCTTCCTTTTTAAATCACTTAATACCTTCTGGTCGAGTTCATCGAGCCCCATTTTCAAATATTTAATGTGATATAGTTATTTATAAGAAGCAGATATTGCGTAAAAATTATAAGATGTAGCCGAATAATAATATTTCACTCTTCCGAAATGTAACAAACGAATAGAATTACGACAAACTATGGAATATAATACGATTATTCACACATAAACAAAAATAAATATTTTAAAATTCACACCCAGATAATTTAAAATAAGAATTCACCTACACAACATACACATAAATAAATAAAATTCACACAAAAAAATAATAATATCACGTCGAGGTCACCAAAATGTACGCGCCGGGAGCGTAAATTAATATTACGCGCGCCCGGTCGCTAATATTCCGCGTACGCCGCCTTTATGTACGATCGCGGCCGGCACACTGTGTGTATGTGTGTATGTTTATAGATCGGACAGCAGTGGTTGGGGTCGCCGCGCAAGTACTGTCCGACTATGTGGTGTGGTGGATGTGTAGGTGTGTATGTGTGTTGTGTGTACTTATAATTATCGAAGGATTAAAAACTGGTAACTAAAATAATGTAAAAAATATGGTAACTATATTGCTGTATTGTAAAATAATAAAATAATTAATAAACAATAAATTACAGCAACATCAAGGTACAAAAAATATAGTATAATAATATCACGGCCCTTTTGGTCCAACAGGTAAAAATAATTATATAAGTGCTGGGCCTATATGGCCAAACAGAAGGAAGGTATAATATAAAAATAGTGTGTGGCCCTTATTGCCTAAAATAATAATTACACAGAACACAGATGTATAATAAATAAATAATAATAAATAATGCCCTTATGGCACAATAATAATTAAATAATAAAATAAATATATAAAAACTTACGGTTTGTGGAGCGCAGACTGGCCAGCTGCAGCTACCTAAAATCTATACCTTAAAATATAATATAAATAAAAAATACAATAATAATAATAGTGGCGATTAGCACACACACAATAATAATATAATAAAATTCACAATATAATAGTGGCGATTCGCGCACACGTAAATGTGTATAAAAATAAATTAAACAAACAATAAATATTACGGCGATTAGCGCACATAAAATAATATAATAAAAAATGATAATAATAATACTGGCAATTCGTGCCTATAACAAATTTGTAAAAAGAAAAAATGTTCGCAAACGCGCAACGGACAATTCACGACGACGTACAGAGAGCGACAAAAGTTGCGGCGGCCGTGTTAAAATAAGCGCACCGACGAGCCGGCGACGCAGATAACGCGCCGATAACGGGTAACGCGTCGGGACTTAATTAATTTAAATAATTCACACACAATTAATAACTAAAATAAATAAATAAATCACAATACTGATAATTGTGCGTGTGTCCGATCGCGGTGATATACTCGGGTCGTCGACCGGCCGTTATTATCGCTTATCTGAGCGTAGCGCACTAAACAATACTAGTGAGTAGCATAGAGTCTGTCTCCAAAAATGTTTGTTGTTTGTTATTCGTTGATGATGATAATACGAATGATAAAATGTGTCCCATCAAGGAATAAATCCGTTTTAAAAAATCTGGAGAAATACTAACGTAGCGTGATGGAGTTATAATATGAATATAAACGTTGAAATCGTTTTCCGGGTCCAAGCCAATGTTGATAAATTTACGATTCTGAAAGTCAATGTTGAATCCAGTTTGATCGATGAGATTGCTCGGAGATTCGGGTGCGACGTATCGAAACTTTTTGTATACTGCAGCGTAGTTGTTGGCGATTGAACCAGCCATGTTTAATTTACTTGGTAAATTTTTAAGAGTAGAACACGGGCAGACAGACAAGTATTACTTGTAGCGATTCAAGTACGACTGATTCAGTCGATTCATTTGTAGTAACTTATTGGTGTAATTTTTCTTTATTATAAGAGGGGAATGTTCAATTATATTTTTCGAATTAATTAATTATTTATCCAGTGATTTGTATTTTCCTAATTATACCCGTACTCAAGCTGGTATGCTAATTTTTATTTGATTTTCTTTAATTATACATGAATATAATCGCTTTCTAAGTATTGGTCAGCTAATATTCCTGGGAACGCTGCGTTGGGGTGGGCAGCGGTGTCTGTAGTAGTGGGGTGGGAAGTTTGAGGTATTACGGGTTGCTTGAGAGGATAATATTATGAGGGGGTATGCCTATTTACTTTGACACTAGTCAACTCATTTAGATTGGGTGGGGGGGAGAGGCAGTTAAGGTAGCGGTAGTGGGGGGGGGGGGGGGGGGGGGACGGGTGAGGAGCGGTAGTGGGGGAGGGGGCATAGATGTTCGGTGGTAACGGCGGTGGTAGCGGCTGCGGTGGCGGTGGCGGTGGTGCCAGAAACCCCCAATTTATACTACTAATAATGATTTACATTTAAAAACAAAGGAAAATTATTATTATCAAGTTCAAGGTGAATTACATATTGTATAGAGAGATAGTTGTTATTTTTGTATTTGAACTCCAAAAGGTAAATACAATTTCTAGTTTCTTTACACATTTTAAAATAATATTTATAATTATAAATATTTTCACAAATCTAGGTATTTTATTTGAAAAAATATTGAGTGATGATAACTTTTGGGCCAATTAACATAATTCTATATGAATAATTTGATTATAGAAATAATTAATTCGAGGTATGACCATGGATTGCCCATTAGAAATGGCTTATAACTCCAGTATATAAAATATGTCTTTTAATTATTTAATTTAAATAAATTACACAGGAATTATTAATTATTTATGGTTTAGTTTTTAAGTGTTCAACTAGAATTATTTGAAATATCATTAGACGTGTAGGTATTAATAATTGATAAAAAATTGTACAATGTAAATTTTGATTATTATAGTAGTTTCGAGAATTCGTAATCGATGGCTGGGACAAAGCGAAAATGGAGTACACACATTAATGTTAATTTACTTCTTACACAACGACACAGTCCAAATGTACTACCTAGTCATATAAAATGCCTAAATATTACTCCCTAAAACATGCTATGTTCCAACAGCCTTAATAATAGGAAAATATTTTTTTTTCATAAAAAAAAAAATCATTGATAATAAAAAAAATATCCGGTTTTTTGTCTAGTTCGGAAATATGAGAAAACATTTATTATTCAGATCAATCTATAAGGTTAGTTAAAATTATGAAAATAGTAGGTATATACTATACGGTACTTGTTAAATAATATTTTTAACAAATGTTAAAATACATGTTATACATTTATGTTACATATTTGTACTGTGTTATTATCAATAACCCTTAAAATAAAATAATTAAAATGGTTTTTACCATAAAATGATTGTAGTTCTTAAAAGGCTTAACTGAAATTAGTATGTATGCAATGAGCCTAAAAAACAGCAGGCTGTTTGAAAAAATAGTAAGTAATTCTTAAAAGGCCTAACAGCTGTTAGTCTGTATGCAATGAGCCTGAAAAACAGCAGGCTGTTTGGAAAAATAATAAGTAGTTCGCAAACGGGCTACTCCATTGCAAAGAGCCTAGTCTTTTTGCAAAAAAACTAATTTTCCATATGGCCAACGACATATACATGTTAAGGTGAATGACGATATTTGGTTAATGTTATCCTTCATAATATTGAGTTTTGATGAATATTAGAAATTTTTAGTTAAAATTGAAATATAGATGTTCAACAATTGATATGTGGTGTATCGTTTCATTCGTTAAGATCGTGAATGTTTACAGATATCATTCACACAATACCAGAAGGGCAAATTATGTTTGAATAGAAACGTATAATAATTGTATAGAGAACTATTTAATCGAACGGTATTTAATGATCTATATAATATTATCGGGGATGCAACTTGAGATGTAACTGTAACGCAAAGTGAGTATCGAGGAAGTGTAGTTGTAGATCCTCAGGACTTTTATGTAACTCTTTTACGTATACTTTTATGTAAGTGTCATTATAGTTTATCTTGTTGCAACAAAAAATTTATAATATAAAATAAAATAATTTATGGTTAATTTATTAACCCTTTGAGTGTCGAATTAATATGTAAAAATTATTTCATCATTATTCATCTCTTTTTTTTTTACAATATGCCAACGTTAAACACAAAAACATAGAGTGCATGTCAACATTCACCTTAAAATATATATATATATTTTATTAAACAGTTATTAATAATTTAATTTATATTTACATAAGACGCAAGACAAAATATCGTTGTATGAGAGCTGTGCGAATAAAATTAAGTTTATGAACTACTTCTGGTATTGGAGAAAAGTTTCGTATGTAATGTATAATATACACCACCCTCGCGTTGGCCGTTGGAGGTGGATGCGAGCAGGTAAACTGCAACGGAAACCAAACTTGATTCATCACCGAAAAAATTTTTTTAAATTTTCTTTTTAGGAATACCGAATAAGTTAATAAACTCTAGTACGAGGTTCAAAATATTGAAAAATCCTTAACTGAAAATATGAGTATCGATAAAATACTTGTTTAACCATCGTTGCAAGAATATTGGTATGTTTCAATAAATCTAGCTAATATTCGAAAAAATGATTAACATATTAACTAGTAATGGGTCGAATCTGATTTTTCGGTGTCGAATCAAACCAAACCAAACTTATAATTATTCAAACAAATCCGAACCAAACTGAACTATTAAAATTTTTTATCGATCTAAAATTTGAACTCATCATTTTTTTTCCTTTTATAGACAGATTTAAATTATGAAAATTTTACTTGAATTATGCAAAATTGAATACACCTAAAAATATATAATAAATTATAATAATTATTTATTAACATCCAATAATAATATTACTGATAAAATTTTTAAAGATATGGAGTACAAACATTTATATTTTCCTTTTCACTTTTTTAAAAATAGGTTTATGTTTTTTGATCATATTATTTCTTATCATATGAAAAATAATCTGTGATAATATTACCTATAAATATTTACAAAAATAATCACATACTTCAATATGAAAATATTTTATTTTATTATATATGATCGTAATTATATAAAAAAAAATAATACTATTATGATACTTACTATAAATTATAAAGTATAGAAAATTAATTATAGATTATTTGATCAAAAATATTTTCAAATTCAAATGTCGAACATCACTAATAATTACTAGAGAGGGAGGGGATGGGCCATACGAGTAGACAATCTTTTAAAAAGAAAATTAATATCTGTATAAGGCTTTATAGTATAGTAATTATTTTATTAAATGTATGTCTTATATACGACATATTTATACTTATGTTGTTATTTTTTAATCACGTTATAAATATTTATTATCAACTATCATATTGTAATTTATCCATGTGGAAAAATAAAAATTAAACCAAGCAAGTTTATATACAGTTATTAATTAATGTGTATTTTTATTTAAACATTTTCATTCACAAAAATAGTAAGGAAAACTTATTTGTCAACAACGATAAAAAAAATGTCACTTATTTTAAGCTATTCAAACATTGAATAATACAAAACAACACAAATATTATCTGTAGATAACCGTCATTTGTGACAACATTAATGGTAATACAATTTAAAGGTGATAATATATTAAATTATATATAAATTAATATATTTTATTATATTTTATATATTTATTTAATATAGGTAATTAAATATTATAACACCAACTTAAATATAAATAATTTTTCGTATAAATAAATAATATTAATAATAATTAACGCTATTTTAGTTTTAATATCAATCTTTATGGCACCATGACAACATTACCTGTACATAATACAAATACAATTTAATAAAATTATAATATGACATAAACAAAAACAAAATATTCTATATTATCCTAAATTATTTGATAATATAATAAAACATAAATATTACTATAAAACAAAAGAAAAAAAAATCATCCAATAATTACAAATTTCTATATATATATATTTTAAATACAAAAAGAAAAAAACGAATACAATTTTGGATATACGAAATACAAAATATAAATTTTTGTACAGAGCACCTTTTATTTAAGTGTGTGTGTGTGTGTTTTTATATAACACTGATACGTTTCTCTCACTTTTCCGTCAAATACGAATGGACCAACAAAAACCGACGTAAACAACGTCAAACTAGTATAAAATCTCACAATTAAAAAAGAAAAAAAAGAAAGAAAAAAACCCCGTATAATTAAATTCACACAAAGTGCTTGGATATACTACTAGTTTTAAATACTATTACAACTGACTGAACACAATTTATTGAGCGCTACTTAACTTACACAACGAAAAATTTGAGACCCTCCACCAAATATTATACAATATTGTATTAAGTGTGAAATACACGATAAATACGTCAATAACAAAGTATACTTTATGATAGCAATGTGTAGAAAGTATTATCAATACCCATTTTGTGTTATGAAACATATTACTTATTGATTCGCCACGATGCACTTACTGATTGTTAAATCATGATAAATCATTTTGAATTTCTTTTTTCATTTTTATGCTCATGAAAAAGTAGACATAGTAAGACATTAATTATAAAAAAAAAAAAAATTAAAAAAAATTATACAGATCAGAAAAAAAAATACTATCACACATTTTTTTTTAATCAATTCGGATGTGTTTCAAAATTAATTTCGTCATAATACATTATAAATAAATTTCATTAATACAATCAAGAGATAAAACACATCATTACAAATGGACGCGACATTTTTCATTAAATATAATATATATCGATATACGGTTGTAACTATGTACAATTTCTAAACGTAAACAACACAACTAACATTTTTAAAATGATTGAGCATTGTGCACGCTGTTCGAGTGTTTTAAACGTGCAAATCGGTGGTCCGTAATTGATTAATCAATTAATAATAAGTAAAGTAAGAAAAACATAATAAACAATACATTTTCGGGAGGGAAGGGGAGTTCTACGCGTAACATACTTTTGTAAAAAAAAATAAACTAAAATAAAAAAATGAATTAAAAAAAAAACAGTACCACATCGTGGATGTATCGAATTGTGCGTTTGTTTATTACTTGGTATGAAGATGAGCGGACGGTTATCATGTGGCCATTTCCGGAACGCTCTCGCATTGGGTGGACGTAGAAGATCCGCAGCCGCCGATGTCCACTATCGCAGCGGTCGGCTGAACGGCCACTCCTGTGGGTTTGCTGAACTCCGCCCGTCCCAGGTCCAGGAGACGCTTTTGCGCCGCGGCCGCGGTCACCATATCTAACATGACGTACGCCGTGCTCGAAGCCAGCAGGATGGTGGGCGATGGCTGCTGTTCGCCGCCTTCGTTGTTCTTTCCAAGCTCGCCGGCAGCCGCGGCCGCAGCGATCATCATTTGCTTGCCGCAATAGCCGTCAAGACGGTTTTGTTGCTGCTGCTGCGATTGCTGTTGCTGCTGCTGCTGCAGTTGCTGCTGCTGCTGCAGTCGTTGTTGCAATTGTTGCAGCTGTTGCATTGGTTGTTGCGTTCGGGACTGTTGCGGATGCTGTGGCTCGCCGTTGAGTCGACGGTACGGCAGATATTCGTCTTTCTGCGACTGAAATTTACACGAAACGCTAAACGGTTAAAATAAATAAGAGAAAAAAAATAGAAGTGTTGTAAATAATATCATAGATTTGAGTCGATCATGAATAAAATGGTATTGTATAAGTTTTACACGAAAGGGTTACTTAATAATACGGTATTGTGACAAAATATTCAACATTTCAACCGCATGACGTACATACAAAATTTGTAAGTGTATTTGTATTTAATATCATAGATTTTGCGAAGTACTTTCCCATCGCGGCTGAAATGAAAACATCAAAAATCGCAGGGAAATTGAAAAGTAAAAGTCAACCTAAACGTGTAATAATAACACTTGTCCAGGTAGCGGAGAAAATAAATAAACGTATCGATTAATTTTTGGCCTTTTATTTTCCCCATAACAAAATGAAAAAAATATCGAAATTGAAAAGATAACCCTCGCCTCTCGTCAAGTTCAATACGACGGATTGATAAGAAGAAGGAAGAGAAAGGTAAAATCGACAAATACAGTGCCGGGTACTTAAATGAGATTATATTACACGGGCGGGAGGAGAGATCATACAGGAGATACACATAGCAGTAATGTACTTGCCTGGAATTCACGTTGGTGTTTGCCGTCGGCCGACGCCACAGAAGAATCGTTTCTACCGTTGTACGACTGCGGGTGACCGTTGCCAGGCCGACGTCGGAGCAGTAAGTTCTTATCGTGCGACCGCCGCTGATCGCCAACGAAACAATCGACGATCGCCGTGCCGGCGGTGACGCTGTCGTGCCGGGGAGGAGACGCGCTGCTGCCGAATATGCAGCTGTCCTGGTAACCGCGGTCGTTGTTGTCGTCGGATGGTGCTGCCACGACAATGTTACAGGGGTCGCGCGGTGGCCCGGTCACGGTAGCAGCCACGAACCCGGACGCGACCGGCGCCTCGGGCATCGAGAAGAACGGCAGAACCGGTTCGAGCGGCCGGGCCGCGTCGTCGTCGTCATCGTCGTTACTCTTCGCCACATCGTTGTCACTCTTGCGGGCCGTTGGCTCCATGGACGGCAGTATGAGCTGCGCATTAAAAACACAGAAAATACAATTGTCAATACAGTCACGACGTACTGTGGTGCGCTACGGTTGCATCAGACAGATGACGTTGATATGGGGGGGGGGGGGGGAAGGAGAAGGCGGACAAACGGATTTTAGCGTTTAAATTTATAAAATTTGTAATAATTTAAAATTCAAAACGGTTCCCAAATGTAATGAAATGATTACAACACCAATCTACGATCACGGTTCCCGGAGAAAATATTGATCGTACACTGTTTGCCGTAAAATGTTGTTGAGCGACCACGTAAGGATATTGTTATCATCCCCATCCGACGCTAGTATATTACGTTTATGTATGTCCTTTACGCTTATGTACGAGGCGTTCAACTGTTTGTCATTTAACGTACGTAAATATAGTACGTTAACAGTTAACAATAAAATATATCATCTAAAAACTCACATTCCTCAATATAATGGCACTCATTTGGGAGGGGAGGCGGGGTCATTGCTTTCCACTGGAGAAATAATACAAAGTTGATATTCAATAAATATTATTATTATTGTTATTAGGGCACGAAAGAAGTATTAAAATACTTGATTACCCTTTCAAACCTATGAACACCAATAATGTATAATTGTGTGCGCTCAAAAACTTATTAATATACAAAGGAATAAATAATTTTATGTGTTTTAAATGACTGGATTGATAAGTCCATTAATATAAAAATATACAATTAACATTTTCACTGAAATAAACGTTTCAACTTAAAATAACCGACCGTGAAATTTAATTACAGAAAGTTAATGATCTATTAAATAAGTAAAGTACCGTAACTAAGTCAAAAAGGTAAAACAAAATAATGTTAAGATATATTCTTAATCATTTACTTATATTTAATTACTACTTCGTCGGAGAAGACAAATTCAAAATTCGGTGTCCGATATGTTTATTTCATTTATACTTGTATATAAATGGATGTGATTATACAACGGAAAAAAAACAGGGAGTCATCACGGTTGAGTGAATATTATAGTTATGTCGGTCTTTTAAATTTGAAACCAATGTACCATTACTTTCGAGAAAAAAAACAATCCTGAGTGAAAAAAGTCGAATGGGTCCGTTTATATTTTTAAGGTGGTTGATGTAGAAGTAGAACTAATTTTTTTAATAAAGTAGGTTTAACTTTTAACTGAAAATTTTTTTACCTAACCTACCATTAGCACAAATTGTATTAAAATATTTAGAAAATTATGTCCAATTAAATATTAACTCCTCTATACATTCTAACGACTGATTGAATAATGTGTGAACAATTGAACCTCGACCTAGGTTGAATTTTTTTTTGTAATTATTTCTCGATCGTTTGGAAAATTGTTGATAAATAAAAAAATAATAAAAAAAAATTACCTTCAACCCTGCCAAAGTACCAACTAGAAAATTACCATAATTGTGATGATCGTAGTGATCCGCCTGATCGAAATCGTGTACGCGGACACGAGAAATAAAAATAAAACAGACGTTTTGGTAAAACCAAAACATGCATTTTACATTTTACACCTTTCGCTTAGAATTTAAAATAATAACAATAATTACGTGATGTTTGCTGGACGATGAATCGTCGTCGTCTGCCACCGTGGTGGTCGTCGTAGCCGTCGCTGGACTCCAACGGGCCGGCGGCAGTCGTTCACAAATCGAATCGCTCCGGTTTCGTTCGTCGGACGCGGAGACGTGTGAGTTGCCGTTGGCTGGCGTCGTGTCGTAAATAATGTGACCGTCTTCCAAGTAATATTGCTGACTCGACTCCGGCCGACTGTCACTGAAGTTGTTGTAATGGTCCTGTCGATCGCGATAAAAATTTAGATGTTAACAATAAAGCGTTCAATACTTTTCGCAAAACTCATGTCAATAGTTTTATAGCGCGGATCAAGGGTGACACAACCGGGTTCTCGGGTCAAGTTAAAGGGTGATGGGAGACGAAGGGTGTGAGAGGACAATGCTGGAGTCCCTATCGTTTTATGGATGAAACAAAATCGTGGTGACATTCACCTTACCAATCTACCATTTGTAAACGTTTTTCCTCGATCGTTCAAGCATATTTACTTTTAATATTTTCTTTGTATATATATTTTCCTTACAAACGACTAGGCATCAAAAATTACGAATTGTTTGTCAAATTGACCCTTTGGACAAAAATGTACATCAATAATTATTATTATTATAAACAATCATAATATTTTTGATGAACCGATTTTTTTTGAACCGTTTTGTAAGCTGTCAAATTAAAAGTTTTGCGCTGACATGAGTGAATAATTTTGGAGGGGCTTCTGAAGATTTTGAAGGGGTTCGAGTCACCCTTTTCCTTCTTAAAGTAAGACATACGAAAACCGTTGCAATTGAATTGGTTCCCAAATACAGGTAGTCGATATTTTACCCTTAATAAGTATCTTTGAATTGGCTCCCAAGGATTTACTATTGAATTGGCTCCCTACCTTTTTTTTTTGGAAAAATATATTAGTTACCAAAATGTTATTAATAATTTAAAGTTAGCCGTTATTTCTTAAATTAGGTTGACGTCACCCACAAGATAACCGAGTAGATTCTTAAGTTAAACCAGGGCCGGCTTTAGATACGATCGACGTGTGCGACGGCACAGGAACGCCAAAATCAGGGGGGACGCGCAAGAGGCGTTAAAACTAGAACACCCTCAAGCACTAGCGGTAAAATTCTTATACAGTTTGCAGACGGGCGGAGGCGTGGTAGCGGTACTAGGCAATTTCTAATCTTGTCGTCGCCACTTGAGATCTATGTGTTAGTCGTAAATGATTATTAGTGTGAGTGGAGTTCAATGCGGGTACATATTCACTAATAGTCCAGGTAGTCGTAAATTTTTATCGCAATAATAGTTTGTCGAATATTGTATCAGATATTATTATGTTTTCTTGTACTACAGTAACTACTATAGTACGGCCAGCGAAACTAGGCGAGTGCCCGACGCGCGCCTAGTGGCTAATTTCCAGCAGTGCTTCCAAGACTACATTCCCGCGTAAAATAATTTTAAAAGTGCAGGAGTTGTAATTAAGACTAAACATTTAATATTTTTGTACGTAAAACTCGTTATTTATTAATTATCACATTCGATAACAAGTAATAATATTAATATTTTAAGTATTTACACAATTATGTATGCATGCACATTTAAAAATAAATAAGTAGGTATTAAAACTTAAAACTATTATTATATTTACATAAAAAAATAAATATTTTTCCGAATTGAAATTATCTAGTCCTCATTGTCGTCTTCATCTTCGTTTGAACTACTTTCGTCAGGATTAATGGTCAATATTATTGGTTCTAATATATCATCCCTTAGTCCTGCCTTGACGAAGTCCTCTTCCTGGATCTTGACGCAATGTTCTCCACATTTGGCCCAATCTTCCGGAGTTACTGCATCGATTTCTTTATGCACAAGTGTCTCGACATCTGCAATTTTGAATGTTGAATTTTTTTCAGCCACTCTGCCTTTTACTTGTGCCCAAATGAGTTCTATTGGATTGTACTGACAGTGGTAAGGGGGAAGCCTTACCACTTCATGACCCATTTGGAAAGTTAGTTCATCCAGTTTATATTTTTTTCCTCGCGGCATCGAAAGTTTAACTTTTTCCCGTAACTCGTCAAGTGTTTCAACGGGAGAAAAATCTATATTTTTATCCCGTAACCACTGTTGAACATCAGTTTTTCTACAGTTGGACTTCGGATAGTTCTCGACCAAAGTAGAGTGATACGACGCGTTATCCATGACAACAATGCTCGGTTCTTCTAAGTTAAGTAACATCTGTGAGAACCAACTTTCAAAAATTGTGGCGTTCATTTGTGAATGATAATCATTGTTACTAGAATTACATCTAAAAATTAGTTTTGATTCCTTAATGAATCCGAAGGAAGGAGATCCGGCGTGGCATATGATGATGCGACTGCCTCTCCCTGTAGGTACTCTTAAACCTTCCGTATTTTCATTATTCTGCCAAATACGTCCACGGGTATGGTTTTGATTAACCCAGGTTTCATCTAAGTAGACTACAGGCCGAGTATCACCGTTCCTACGAAACTCGTTCATTTTTCTAAGGAACTTAACGCGCGCAGCTACAATATCGGATCGTTCCATTAAGAATTTGCGACCATCGTTACATTTCTTGTACTTAAAATTAAGTTGTTTTAAAATTATTTTCACCGACGATTTTGATCCACGGTAACTTAATTTTTCACGCAATTCCACTAATATTTTAGCACTCGTTGGAAATTCACCCTTGTCGTAAAAGCTATGAACGACTCTTCTAACCACATCATTGTCAAAATCATCAAGTTCAGTGACAGTTTTCTCACGAATGTAATTTTTTTGTGGTGATCGAAATTTATGGTCATTGGAACTTCCTACACTTAATGATTCTTCTTGATTTCTAGTTATTTTACTTTCATTACATACCCGTTGTACAGTTCTCAGACTCACCGCACAAGCCTCGGCCGTCCTCTCTTGTGACTGTCGAAAATAGTCTGCCAATTCCGGCTTCTCTTTGCAATTGGCTAACATTTTAAAAAATGTATACACGTTGTAAATTATTTTTTTCATTTGGGAATGTATATCGGGTCGAATTGACATTTTAAAAATAATAATTTGTCACCAACGAATAGTAAAAAAAAACACAGAAAAAAATTAAAATATTGTACAATATTAAAACAGCCGTATAAAAATCACACTCAACTAAAACGATAGCAATTAACACATACACGAAGGGCAGAGAATCAAAGACTAATACATTTTGAAAAAAATCGATTCTACACACAATTTGGTTTCAATAGAATAACAAACAATAAGGTCAATGGAATGCGGTCCCCAGCGCCAGATGGCCAGTTTGAATACAAAAAAAGCCGCGCGCAACGGTTATACGCACCCGCAGCAGTTTATTGTACGCATATTTACATTATATATATACAATATACCTTATGGTTTATACAATAATAAAATATATTTGATGTAACAGTACTCAACATTTCTCATATAACAGCTGAAACACAGCTGCATCAGCTACTCATTTAATAAATAATACTTTTAGAACCCCTGGCTTACATGAAAACGGACACTAGGCGCACGTCGGGCACCCGCCTAGTTTCGCTGGCCGTACTATAATATTATTGTGACCGACTGAGCGATTAGATAAGCGGACCGACTCGATAACGATAATTTATTATGAATCGTATTCGCATGTACGTAAAATCATTTTTGAAATTCTTTGTTCTTTTTATTTTGACTGTTGAAGTGGACACTTGTCAGTTGCAGTCTACAATTACAATTTACAATAGGTAAGCTTTAAAATTTAATTAAACGTAATATTTATTAGGTATTTAAAATTGTGAATGGTTTTGCGTGGGATGTATTATAGTTTCTGATAAATAAAATTATTTTCTTTTACAGTTTCGATTTATTGATAATCAGACATAAAATAAAAATGTCTGGATTAAAAAAAAACCCTCTGGAGCAGAATATAAAAAAAGAAAAGCTGCCAAAGAAATCGAATTTAAACGAAATAAAAAGTCAATGAATCTTCAGAAGTATTTTAATAGCTTATAATCTGAAAGTAATGAATTTCATAGTTCACTATCCACCTCGGCTTCAATAGGATTTAATTGTGAAAATACCCAGATTGAATCGGATAAAATTTTCAACAATCAATGTGATTCTATCGCAATTACAAGTAATTTTGTTCTAAATGACATTAATAAAACAATTATTATTGACACTGCAAACAATGACACAAATAATCACATTTAGTTCAAAATTCTCCTGTTACGATCGATAATAATATATATGATCATGATCCAGCTTTATGGCCTAAAAATCCACTTTAAAATTTTATGAAACCTATAGTATCATATTTTATCTTATACTAAGTGGATAGAAACTGAATTAAGACTTAAAAGTGGGAAATCAATTGATCACTTGGAACAGTTACTAATTCAAAAAGAATCTGAGCGCTGGAATTAAGTTTTAACACGCTTAATGAACATTGCCTTATACTTGGCAGAAAATAACATAGCTTTTCGCGGAGTTTCTGATTAACTTTACAGTCAAAATAATGGGAAATATCTTGGTCTTATTCAATTGTTTGCCAAGTTTGATCCTATAATGCAAGATCATGTAACTCGAATTTTAAAAAAATGAAATTAAGGACCATTAGTGTGGAAAAAATATTTTAAATGAACTGCTTCAAATAATGGCAGACAAAGTCACTGCTACAATCATATCCAAAGCCCACAAAGCTAAATATTATTCTATCATAGCTGATTACACTCCTGATGTAAACCATATAGAGCAATTGTCTTTGACTATCAAATTTGTCGATTTATCTAAAGACAATGTAGATATAAGTGAAAATTTTGTTCAATTCACTCCTATAAACGATTCAACTGAAGAAGGGCTGTCTGAAAGTATTTTAAATTTATTAAATATACATAATGTCAATCTGAAAAACTGCAGGGGACAAGGCTATGACAATGGCGCTAATATGAAGGGCAAACATTCTGGTGTCCAAAAGCTGATTATTAACAAAAACCCATTGGCATTTTATATGCCTTGTGGTTGTCACAGCCTCAATTTAGTATTATGTGACGCAGGAAAATCATCGACAAAATCCGTCACTCTATTTGGAGTATTAGGAAGACTATATAATCTTTTCCTCACATCAGTAAAACGTTGGCAGCTCTTGGTGGACCATCTGAAAAATTTTACTTTAAAACGATTAAGTGATACTCATTGGGAAGCAAAAGTTAGTAGCGTTAAAGCAGTAAGATATCAAATTGGTGATATGTACGATGCTCTAATTAGTCGTTCTGAAAAGGAAGAAAGACATGATCCTATTACTTCTCACGAAGCCTACACATTATCTAATCAGATAAAAGATTTTAGTTTTCTAGTTTCTTTAGTCGTCTGGTATGATATATTATTTCAAATTAATGTGATCAGTAAATCTATGCAAAAATTAAATTTTGATGTCTGTAATTCAGTTAAGTTGATCGAAGGGTGTTATAACTTTTTAAAAGATTACAAAGTTACTGGTTTTGAAAAAGCTATTTCCAAAGCTTCTGAATTAGCTTCCGAACTTGGTTCTGAGCCAGAATTTAAAGATTCTAAAAAAGTAAGATACAAAAAACGACAGTTCCAGTATGAGCGTAGAGAGGAGCCTATAACTTCTCCAAAAAAAAAAATTTGAAGTTGAATTTTTTAATCCTTTACTAGACACTGCTATTTCATCAATTAAAGAGAGATTTGATAAGTCATTAAAACATACAGAAATTTGGAGATTTCTTTATAATTTCAGTAAAATATCTAGCTTTGAAAAGGATGAATTGCTAAAATATTGCACTGATCTCCAAGTAGCTTTGACTGATTTGATGGGTTAGAAAATGATATTGAAGCAGTTTTTCTTTGCGACGAATTAATTAGCATACAACACTTCACCAAGATCAATGATTGCAATTCACCCCTCGATGTACTTAATTTAATTAAAAAAAATCAATTAGAGGATTTATACCCCAATATATGGATTTCATTAAGAATTTTGTTTACCATACCGGTCACAGTCGCAAGCGGAGAAAGAAGTTTCTCCAAACTTAAGTTAATAAAAACCTACCAAAGGTCAACTATTTCCCAAGGCACATTGACATCCCTAGCTACACTAAGTATTGAAAATGCTATTGCTCAAAATTTGGACTTCTCAGAACTAATTAAAGTATTTGCTGATAAAAAAGCGAGAAAAGTGAACTTTCATTAGATTTTTTGTATATATTTAGTACCTCTGTAACAAAGTTTTTTAATAATAATAAAGTATATTTTATATTGATAATTACTATACAATAATAAATAATAATAAAACTAAGGAAGTTTATTTTTTTTTTTGAATTCGACTAATCCCCTAGTTTTTCCTATTTAATGTTTAAAAAGAGGGCAAAGGGCGCCGAAATAATTCTTGCACTGGTTGCTGAAAAAGCTAGAGCCGGCCCTGAGTTTAACACATGGTTTATTTGTATATTTTACTTCGTTACATTGAGAGTTATAAATCTATTTTTTTTACACAAAATTATTTAGTAAGTATAATACAATAGTAATTAACATAATAATACAATAATCATAACCAATAATAATATAATAAAAATATTAGATCAAATTATTTTTCTTGACTTACTTATTACTAGAGTTCGGATGTTTATGACAGCATATTTTTTTTTTGCGCAGCCAGAATTTCACCGAAGTGAGATACAAATTTGATTCATGGAGTCTATATTACAAATATGCAAACTTTTTTTTTGCATATTTGACATTTTTGAGCATATAAATGCATATATTGATAATTTATAGATTTAATAGCATATTTATAATATTTTAAATATAATTTAAACATAACACTTATACGGTTAAAAACTCATATATTTATATCACTATACTATACAACTATATGTATACACGAATATCGGAATCGCCTATCGACGGCCATTATCTTATCCGCCTATCGTTAATAGATTAATATTATAGGTATAGATAAGTAGCTCCATGGTATGTTAGCAACAACACCCTTCACAATGACCTCAAAATTCCCTATCTCTCTGCTTTTGCTTCCACTCACTATAAAAAATTTCACGCCAACACATTACCTCATTCAAATCCACTTATATCTAATCTCTCTTCTCTAACTATCCTGGATAATCCACCCCGACGCTTAAAGCGTAATTGGCCACGCTACCTCCTAAACAAATAAAAAAATACTAAAAAAACAAAAAAAAAGTTGAAGTAGCGTTACTGGACGCCCCCTTCATTCAAGCCGTCAAGCCCTGTACATTTTTGTTATTATTATTACTTATTGTATTGTCTATACAGATTGTATATATTCGTTTTCTAAAATAAAAAAAAAAAAAAAAAAGGTAAGTATAACAGTACAGTAATCTCTCGTTATCCGCAAAGGTTACGTTCCAACAAACCTGCGCGAATAGCGAATCCGAATATATATTTATATTTATAGTAATTTATTTCTATCATGTATTTTTTTTATAATTTATTTTGAATTAATAATGACCCCTTTTTTGCGTATATTTTTTTTACATATTTTTGTTGAAAAATAGGTATATTTGATATATTTGAAGGCAAATATTTGCATATTTTAATGAAATTTGGGTCATTAACATCCGAGCTTTACTTATTACTTATTGGCTAGTGTTTTTATGTATCGAAACCTAGAATTTACACCAGTACCATATTTTCGAATTTCATCTTTCAAAAATTTTATTTTATCTCTGATTTCTTTCCGGTGTGGTTTTATTATATTGGAACTTCTTATAATAATTGTTGTAAACAATATATTTAAAAAAGTTGAATATGTTTGTATGTGATGAATAAAATTAAGAATTAAATTTGGAATGAAAAGATTCGCACGAGTTAGTTGAACAATAAATACTATTGCTTTATTCTGCCCAAATTTCTGGTGGAAAAGTTGAATTATTGTCGACATAATTTTCTACTAAATAATCATTTTGTAAGATTTTCATTTATAGGCTGTATTTCAGCTAATTTGTCGGAAAAGCAATCCTCAACTGATTGTGGATCTAGAAATGGCAATCCAAATATACCTATAGGTTAAATATTGACTTATTTCTGCATTCACCACATACTCTGACGAAACACCAAACTTTTTTATAGTTCTATACCAAGATTGTCCAATGTGAGACCGACAACCACGAACTTTAGTCAATGGCCAAACTTCATTTATTGCATTATGTATAGCTATTTCAAAGTCAGCATAAATGCTTTCTAAATTAAATTCCTTATTATAAGTTAAACAATAATTAATAGTTATTCAAAAAATTTCTACATAGGATTCTTGTTTTTTGTCTTTAAGTAAAATGAAAACTAAAGGTATATAATGATTGTTTTCCATCACAAGAATTGTAAAAAATTAGTAAAAAAACTTTGTACAGTATAAAAAAGTACCATTAACGTAAAATGTGATTGATTTACTTAAAAGTTTTATATTGTCATCCGTGCCAAAAAATAAAATCTCTTTTTCCGAATTATTAACTTGTAAAAATGTATTACTTTCATATGTTTTTATGTCCATGTTTTTCAAAATATCATGCACCTCTTGTCTATTACGAAGTAAATTTGGACGAAAAGATGTTTAAGCTTGAAATATATTGTATTTTATATATGTCACATATTTGGTTGTTATTGAGTTTGTATTATTCTTCCGTAAATATGAATGCAAATAACTTGGAAGGTCGCTCACACATATTTTCAATCGCCTTCCGTTTTATACTATTACTTATTAGGTATTTGACGTTTAATTTTATTTTCTTCGTCCGCATCGTGATTATGTTGTATATTATATGATATCTACATGATTTCTTCGTTATCTAATACTTTTAAATTAGCAATGCATCCTCATTTAGTACATTTATAACGATATTGGCCAGTTTTTGAAAACTAAACTTGTATTTATTAACTACAAAAATTTATTTTCCATTTTCGCTTAACATTTTCTCTACAGAATTCATTTTCCCACAATCGCGTGAACACACTCGCATATCTACTAATAAAGAAACTATTGTGTATTAAAAAATAAATAAATTACTTTATAGAAATCAATGATAATCGTTTATTGCAGTAGATTACGACGATTAATCGGTTATCGGTCAACGCTTAAAGGTGGGATTAATTTTCGGGAGCCAATTTAATGGTCACCACGAAGACAGCGATAGTAATAATAATAATAATATATTTTTACGATCTCATGACTTTTTCAGGTGACTCGAATTAATTAAACGACATATAAAATATATTATTTTACAGTAATAATAAGTAATTACTTTATTATTATTAATAATAATAATAATAGAAGCTTTGAATGGCCGATAGGAATATTCAAGTTTTATTTACGACTGGACGAAGCGGAGCCTCGAAGAGGATTAAAAACGTTATTGATTTAGGTTACTGTAATAAAAGGACGTGATCTATATATATATATATACCTCTTAATACAAAGGTGTAATTGAAAAATTTTACATAATTTTTAACGTAAAGTAAGCAAATTAAATTTCAATATTACATCTTGTATATTAATCATCGTCCAAATATCATTTACCCACAATTTAATGAATTAAATAAAAATTTACTTACCAGTTGGATTATTTTTAGTTAAAAGGTTTAATAAAATAACGGTTATTTGATGTTTTAAAGAAAAAGATTTATCAAACTGAAAGGGAATGTGAGTATGTATAAATATTAATAAATAAAATATAACTTGTTTTTAATTTATTTATATTTCTCCGGGAGGAACTTTTTACGTTTCTAAGCAAAAATTATTGTTTGAAAAAAAAACAAATATTTTATTTTATTGACAATAATGGAATAAGGTAGATGTGACTCAAGATTTGTTTCTTTGAAAAATATATAGACACGACAAGCCTAGTTACATGCTCTGGGGACTTGATACATAATGATACACTGTTCCGTGTCTCAAAAAAGTACGACGTATTTAAGTTAAATTAGTAGCTAGCTTAGAGATATTATATAAAGAAATGTAAACATATAATTTTTATAACACCTACGTTTATGAAATAATGGAGTGTTTTATACTTACAAACTTGATGTTTATGTTCAATGTGGGTGGTAAAACGACTTGTACGTTATGCATGACTTTATACTTTCTCCAAAATCTAGTTAAAATAACAAATATAATATAATAAGTGATTAACGTACAACTATTGAAATTAAATTATTGGTTAAGAATGAGCAGTTTACCTGTTACCCCAGTATGTGGATATAGTGGTTAGAATAATGAACAAACATGACCATATAACTAAATGAAGCACTAGAGAAAGACCTATAGACAAATATAATAAAAAAATAAATTATGTTGTAAGTACAAAACTGTTAATAATAATGATCCAAAAAAAAAAAACGGTGTTATATATGTGATATTATAAATGCTGCGTAATTAATAGATATTATCTAACCATGACCATTACATGCTTTTATAATATACACAGACTATAAAGATAAAACTATGTAAAATAAGTGAATGAATAGAAATATAACATTTACCCATAAAATAGCTATATAATATAATTATCTATCAATATAAATACGTATTGAGTATGTAGGTATTTTAATAGTTGATATGTAATGATAATACTAAATATTATGTATAATACTAATGAATTTTATGGTAAAAAGAATGCATGGCATGTCATATGGAGATATCAGTAGAATGAGGTATTTAAAAGAGAACAATTAAAAAGTAAGTCAAATTAAGTCTTATATAGCATCACCACAATTAGGTTAAGTACCTACATGTCAGACTCAAGACTGTAATTAAGTCCTAATTTAAATGCATGTTCACGGAGAATATTAAAATGGCTAATGGTTACATTTCACTAGTACGATTTTGCTTAAAGAGATATTTTCTGACCGTAAGAAGTAGGTATGTTGTTTCATTTTCAGTTGAAAAAAAAATTGTTTGTTAATTGTAGATATTCGATAATCTTAATAAATTTAAGTCCGAACTTTAGATCATAATTATAAATTACTTTCACCAATAAAATTTAGTGGTAGGAACAAAAACACTAAAGAAATTATATGGTCGTGACTTTATAATAAATACATATGTAATATTATACATATTATTCACATATTTTGAAATAAAGTTTTAATACTATCGAATTTAAAAAAATTATTTAGTTGTGACCTTTTTACTTTTATTGATTTCTTTATAGTTTTAACGTTTATGAATCATTAATTCGTTTATTGTTAGATACATATTGATTGATTTTGTGTTTTTAAAAGGACTTTTAACACTTTTCAATATTCGGAAGATAAGATTTCAAATGAAAGATTCAAGATTTTTTCAAATGAAAACATATGGAAAATTAGGTTTATAAATAATAATTGTTTGTATTGTATAATGTTAGATAAACACTTTTCCCCTTTGAATTTATAATTTAAACTATATGTTATATTATGTGATATGAATATAGAAAACCAGATTTAATTTGATGTTTTAGTAGAGTTTTAATTATTAAATGCTTGAAAAGTAGTCATCACTATTATATACGATATACGAGTAGTATATAAATACTACATTGTAGTATATGTTCTACTAATCGTTGAAATTTCATAAGACAATGCAATAATTTTTTAAATTTATATTCAGACAAATTTTTTTTTTTTTTTTTAATTCAATATATATTGTATAAAAATTATAAATTTTCAAACATTACGTAAGTGTATAGATATTTGAGTACTTTAAATAACAATAACTTACACCGACAGTGTTTCCGGCTCTACATTTTTATAAAAAATATTTAATTCAAATATGTTGATTGGTCACTAATAGAAATGCATTTTCTTAATATTATATAGTTTTTTTTCTTATTTCATATTCCTATGGATTTATAACAACTTTAAAATGTCTAATCTCTGTTTATTTAGAATCCAATACGTTAAATAAAACTTAATGAACGTTATCAATTACATCTGTTTAAATTTTAAAATACATAATGTATTTTTCGTAACATGAGTAACTTAAGAATGTATAAAAACAAAAAAATTTAATCAATAAAATTCGAGTTATTCGCCAGAAGAAATATATAAGAAAATACTACCCACTAACGTTATACTAATAAGCAATCACGTGGATACTCGCTATATAAGATATGACTGCCACGTGACTCCTACTCTTTAGTTTAAAGTTCCACCTTATTCATTAAATTTTTAATTATTTTAAGAACTGCTTTATTATAGTATACTTAAAAGTAAAAAATATACTATTCGAGAATAATCTTATACAAGGTGGGTCAAGACATGAGAACATTTTGAAATAATTATAAAAAAAATGTATTTCAAAAAGTCAAAAACAAAGTAAATAGTACACAATTAGAGGCCTGAAACCAAAAAAGTCTTAATATCTGAAAATTATGTCTATCGATACGTAAAACCATCCTCAAATCGAACGCAGAGATTTTGTACGACTCTTTATAACGATAAAAATAGTTAAAAACATATATACACATATATAGACACAAATACATACAACAAAATAGTGAATTTTGTTTTCTACCGTTGTCCAACATGTGTTTTAAAAATTAAATTTTTAACACAATAAATGCAGTATCCGATTTTAAAATAACAATATACATGTTTCTATTTTCCGTTATAATAAACGAAGCGGGACGAGTTCTCAACATAAAAACTGTATAAAACTATATGGTTCTTATTTTATATATATATATATACATATATATGTTTTTATATTGTAGTTTTGAGATGAATGTCTTAAGTAAAAGTAATAAGTTAATAATATTTTATATAAATTCGTCGTAACGAAGACATCAAGTTTAGAAATAGCATTACGTACTGTTTGGCTGAGGTGAATGAACGAACAGTAGACAAGCTGGCAAATGGATTGATATGCAAAACAATTAATATAATTAATTTATTCGTAATTTTTACTTCACACCGCTTATTATGTATTAATATTTAAAACTGAAAGGCTTACATCACGTCGTGTAATAGGCCGAAAAAGGTAGACGTACTATTTCAAAAATGTTATTCTAGGAAAACATTACAGAGAGTATTTTTGAACGTCTGCAGTGGTGATGTAAAGAATAAGTTCGAACTACAAATTATGTAAACGAAATGACCAGCAGCAGCGGATAGACGATAAATGTGTGTCACTACTCTAAATTACCTTTATCTTTTTTATTGGTCTGGCACGGATTTTCGGTATGACGACTCACGAGGAAACCCAAGTTTAATAATAATAAGCGATATAAATATAGCATGGAATCATAACAACCCATGAGCAACAGATCTATTAAACTCGTACACGTCTGTGCCACTCAATAATATGTAATTTTAAATAATGGCCAATAAATGTATTAGTGTATAAAAAAAATACCACCATCAAAATCACTATTAATGTTACGCACTACTGAAACCGTTGTCATTTATTACGTCTATTGTAACACGTTACCACTTCAACATCATATTATTAGATAGGTGTTACATCTACCGTTATTATATTTTTAAGATATTTAATTTTGCTTGTAGTATTTAAAATGATTAAAAAATATATTTATAGTATATTTTGGCAAAGGAAACCAAAAAAATTAAGCTTAAATTATAATGCATTTGTATAAAAAATTCTATCTTGTACATATTACTTATACAATTATTATTTCAATAAAAACCTTCTGAAACACAAAATTCAAAATAAAGATGAAATTTTTGTCCTCCTGCGATTTATGGGTTTATACTATTTTTGTCATGTAAATAATTTAAAATTAAACAAGAACTCTTTTCACTAGTACTGAATTAGTACAAATTGTTTTGATTCTACGAATATTGTACATTTTCCAATTTAAATTTAATAATTTTAGAATTATTAAAAAGTTAATTTACTATTTTATATTATTATAAATTTAATACATTTTCCCAGTATCCCTTAAGTATACATAAATATAGATAACTATATATTACAAATTATTTCCTTTCTAAAGTTAAGCCAATATTTTTTCAGGTTTATTTAATATCAGACACAAAAAAGTGACTTTTTTATTTATTCATGTATACAACAGAATACCATCATAAAATATTAGTACAGTTTCAATACAAAAATGAAATTATTTCAATTTTGTTAAATGTAATAGTTAAGTTTAATAAACCTGTAGGTGCATACTAGAGAGACACACTAAATACATTTATAGAAAAATTCTTTCATAATTATTTAATATGAACATTGATGAATAATAATGTCATACTAAAATTGTACTGTCCAAAATTTAATATTAATATGACCAAATATCGTTTTCGATACATTTAATAAATATGCAGTATTAAAAGATAATACAAACGTTAATTTTAATACGATAAAAAATTACCTGGTAACACACAACTGACTGACCCAGGGGCAGACCATGGACCAAAATATGGATGACTAGGATCCATTGGGTTGTTGTTGACTGCTCGTACAGAAAATGAAAAAGTTTGTTGACCTTTGACGTGTTCATTGTTACAATCAGTAACAGGTACACGGAATTCGTTGGCTAAAAAAAAAAAAAAATAAAACAAGTTCAAAATTCAAAATATATACACTTACAATCACTCAGGTAATAGTTTTCAGGATTTTCATGTATTTGTGTGGAAGCTAAAACTGCGGGTGTGGATGAACTACCATCATTATTAGTATGTGAACTGGTCGAACCACTATGATGTGCTAATTGATAATAATCAATCGGACCTGCAGGTTTTGCGGGTCTAAGCCATGACACAACTATTCTAGTGCTGTTTTCATATATTACATTTGGTTGCGCAACCCTCCCTGGTACTATATAATGGAAAATAAATATTAGTATATGGCATTTAATGCTTAAATATTTCAATAGTTTTTTAACTTACATCCAACAGCTGTTCGTACTTGTATGGGAAATGAACGATCTGAACATACTGTTGTACATGCAGTGATAGATATATTATAAGTTCTATAGCTTTCAAGCTGTTCTAGATGGCACTGTACAACAAAGAAGAATTTTAAACGAAGATAAATATACCATTGGAAATATTTTTAGTGTTATTGAAACTGAATAAATTATAAATCGCATTCTAACCTTGGTATCATGAACTATTATTCGATGACGTTGATTTATTGATTGCTGATCGTCCAAAAAATCGTTCAAGTCTTGCTGCTGTGGCACATCATCCAAATAATAATGAACAAAGTAATGACGAACAACACCATTTGTAAACTTCGGAGGTGACCACTCAAGACTCACGGATGTATTGGTAAATCCCACAACACTTATATTTAAATCATGCACATCTGGAGCTGTGAACGAAATAACAAAAAATATGAATTTTTGTATAAAAATAAAGTTAGTTTTAGATAAAAATATACTGTTACCTCCTTCGAGGGTAGTATTAAGTAAAGGATTACTATGTAAGCCTTCACCATGTTTTGTGATCAATGCAATAGTAACCATATAAGTTGTATATGATTTGAGATTTGTTATGCTACCTCTACTATCTTGTACCATATTTTCTCCGCTAACAGTTTTGTTTAACATAGGTTCTTAAACATAAAATACAAAAATATTCTTATAAATTAATAACTGAAAACGTTTCAAATAAACAATAAAAATTTAAATATTAATAGTTATTTCCGAGGCTCATAATATTTTTCTTGTTTAATTATGTATAAGGTAGTTAATGATGCTAGTTTTTCAATAAAATGTATAATATTCAAGTATTTGTAACTATATACAAGTAGTTATAAAATAATATACAGTTATGAAGTAAAAATTAATTATAAAATCCACGATAACTAATGACATCGGAATCCCATAAAAATAATGATTTCTTAGTTTTAAAAGTTATAATAATAAAGCGACTATATATACTATGTATATACAGTATAAAACGAAATAAATATTACAAAATTCTTACCTTTGCAAGCGGAATTATTTATGGAAACTACAGGACAGTAATAAATACGAAATCCAAGAACTGCTCCAATTCTATCAGAGCAATCGAGTTTCCATCTCAATTCCATATGTGTCGAGCTAATTATATTAACCCAAACGTTTTTTATTTTACCAACGACTAAAAAAAAAAAAATGCACATATTGAAGATCAAAAATATTAAATTTATATATAAATAAAAAATGTTTCTCCTACTTTTATTATGAAGTACTGTACATGATGCCCATACCATTCCACTACTACTAATAGGTGGCTGATAAATACTATTTAAACTATTCCTTTGAGAAATCTGACTGTTCGAGCTTATTGCAAATTGGTAAATTTTCGTATGATCCGATACGGTAATATTGTAGCAAGATTCTGAACTTGGTATATGCATCCAGTTCATATATCCCTAAACACAAAAAGATGATTAGTAGAATTTTAGATAATCGAGTCGAGCAAGGTTTTCCTGTAAAATTATAATTTTACATACATTACACTGGTAAGGACGGTCCTTGTCACTTTCACACCAAAATATAGTATAATCACTAAGTTGATTAGTTGTGGATGATTTCTCACTACTAGCATTTTTCCATGATAGTTCAAAAACCCCTCGTTCATCAAATGCCATTTTGGTAAAAGATATTGGTTCATCAAGTTCTAGTGACAGCGAGAGAATAAGAACTTAAATATATAAATAATTTAAGAAAATTATTGACTTACTGTCCGCTTCGCTAGGTACATAAACTGTGGAATAGTCTATGGAAAAACCTTCTTTATTCACTGAATAAATGGTAAATAAGTAACCAATACTAGTATTGAGTCCTTCGAATTTAGCATAATTTTTATACGTTTCATTACTACGGTGAATGCTATATAGTAAAATAAAAATCAGTCGGAGAGAAATATGCAATAATTAAGACAACAGATAGATAAATAGTTGTTAGTACTAACATCGTTTGATTATCTGCTGTCGTAGAAGTATAGTAAGCATGATATTCAAATAAATCACCACACTTCTCGCTGTCATCAATATTCTGCCAATATATGAACACATCCCTCGTAGATTTCTTGACTAATGATGGGACACACTCAAAGCTCCCTATGTCAGTTTTTGGAGGTCGTCTAGGTACTAAACAAATTATATTATTATCAGATATTAACGTATTAAATTTTAGAGCACTTACTAGTAGGTTTTGTTTTTAGAGTGATACGACCCGGGGCAGACCACCTGTTTTCCTCAGAGGCAACGGAAGATCGTACATATATACGAAAATCATAATGTGTAAATGGGTATTTTAAATCCGTGACGTTGAAGTAATAATATTCCGAGTCATGTTTCAGGCAATTTAATTTATGAACTAAAATTGTTTGGTTGGACGTCAGGGATGAATTACATACGTAACTTACATTTATGGACTGTACAAAATAAATTTAACGACAATGTAATTTAACTTTTATAACTTATACTATCGAATAATTTAATACACTTACATGCCAATGTTCAGGATTGGAATCCCACTGAGACTTATATTCAATTTTATGAATTAATTCTCGTGGAAATGCTATCATTGGACCAACAGACCACTTTAACATTGCACTTGATTGAGTTTTATCCATAACAGTAATATTTGGGCTCGCAGGGATAACTAAATATTGAGAAAAAATTATATTTAATATTTATTTACTATTTATGTTTTATTTCATAATATTTTAATAAAATGTAAATGTAGATACCGTTAGCATAATGATGAAAACGAAACGACGAAGTTGAGTTTCCTAATACATTTTCACCAGTTATTGTGAAAAAATAATACTCATATAGTTGTCGATATATGGGCTTAGTAGAAACATCCCAATAACAATAATTTTCTTCGACATCCGTGATTTTAGATGGACAAGCATAAACGTTTCTAAGAAATCAAATATTTATAATAAATCATAATTGATAAGAAAATATTAGCAACAACTTACCTGCTACTAGTTCGACCAGGCAATCTAAAGAATAATTTATAATCTGTTTTAACTGGATTCTCTGGTTTGGTCCAATTGCACATCAGACTGAGCCAATTATCCGATATGCAAGAGAAATTTTTAATGGGCAAAGGTTTATCTGAAAAAAGAATATAAAAATATAAATGTAAATAAATTTAAATAAAAAATAAAAAATTTGGCATATTTTTCAAATAAGATATAATTGAAAATAAAGTAATGCGCTTCTATATATACAACGAAAATAAAAAGAAAACAATAGAATAATAATTTTTGTTAAAAGTAATGAAATTGCATTTTCGAGGTCAATAGTATTTCGATAGTAGTTCATACGATATGAAATAAAGCACTTCAACAAATGAAAACAATAAAATATTTCATTTTTTGTTCTAAAAATTGACATGTACAGCATTCATTACAGCTATCATACAAAATCAATGTTTGAATTCGGGTCCTAGTATTAAAAAATCGAAAAAGTGTTTCATTGTAAAAATCAAATAATGCTATCGGTCGGATCAATTATTATAAATTTTAATTAATGATGGGTCGAACTGTTATTTTTCCAGTCGCATGTTACACATCCACCCATCGCCGACCAAAACATTAATAAGTTGTTTATCGCCAATAGAGGTAATGTATCTACATTCATAAATTAGCTATTTTTGTTTTTATCATATTTATTATAGTTATCTATTTTGTGTAAATCCATGATAATATTCCGATACCGCGACTGTGCTGTTAATAAAACATGTTTATAAACTTACGTCTTACATTATAAACTATACTAATCATACTATATTTGTGAATTATAGTTATTATTACTATTTTTTTATATATTATTAAAATGTACTAATTGTATTGTCATATTACACTCAATACTCAATACTCTATGAATATTTTATAAGCTACAAGACAACACGAGAGAGCACAAAACTGGTTTTGACAAATAATAATAATAATAATAAGAAATTATCTAAAATTTAAATGTATTGTAAATAATACAATTACTTCAACTTAAAAGTTAAAATGTAGGTAATACAAAAACTTAAAATACAATAGTAATTAATAATTATGTTTGATTTGATTTGTAGGTAGGTACGAGTACAATATACATGATAAAAAGTATTGAATTCAAGTTCGAGTTCGACTTAAAATCATAATAGGTTCGGTTCGATAGAAAATATGAAGGTTCGGTTCAGTTCGAGTTCGAAAAAATAATTTAAAGTTCGGTTCAAGTTTGCTTCGATTTAAAAAATCAAGGTTCGACCCATCACTAATTTTAACATTTTATATAACATAATTTCATCATTTATAACTATACAGTAAGAACATAAAAAGTATTTCGTGTCATTATAAAAATAAAATTTTCGTTTAAAAAGAAGAGTAGAGAAAAGGAAAATGTAGTTTAATTAATAAATAATATATGGTAAATTATAACGAATATTATGATTACTTACATCCCACATGAACAGTATTTAGACATACTCCGGTCCCCGCCTCTTGTGGCATCAACGGAGGAGGTCCACTTGTTTCCAAACTTGTTGGTTGCACAGTGGAAAACTTTGACGAATCGACAGATAATGTGGATAACTGAGCACTACTGTTAGTATCATAACTATCATTGTTTAGACGTCGTTGGTTATCTAATAGCAAAATGCAATCATAGATGTTGAGACCAGCTGGAGGATTGGGGATGCGTAATTGAGCTGCCGTTGCGTTAATAATTGACACGTATTGCTTGGGCACACGTTCGGCGTACTTGTAGAACACAATCCATTGACTTAGTAGTTGAGTTTCACTATTATTATTACTTAGTTGGCGCAATTGGCTCTGCACAATTGCATTGTCGGGATCTAAAATACACGTGATTTCTAAAGGAACACCGCTGTTGTATTCTAAGATAATATCACCTCTAGGAATAGTTTCTGAAATGACAAAAAAAAAAAAAAAGTTACTTTTATATTGAAATGTGTTTTTATAAAGGTCGCAGTTCAAAATCTTCAGTTGATAAATCTCTAAAAAAAAAAAAATGACCGAAAATTTTAATAAACTCACGAGGTAATCCATAAAACAAAAATATTATACTAGATAAATAATCAACATATTATCAAGCAAAATGTATTAAATACAAAAGACAATAAGTATTCTTATAAAATAAAACGTTTTTCAGTTCGAAGGATTTTAAAATAATAATACACAACTCATCATTACTATTATATTGTTCTGTTTCTATTAAATTGTAAAAAAAAATAACTATTTAAATAATAACTCTACATGAGTATAGTTATTAATTGCAAACATGTAAATGGTATTTTATATTTTTAAATCAATTATACGTTATGTTGGTAGTATAAGTACAAATATACAACTATTTCCAAGAGGTCTGGGAGAGCTAAGCCCTTTTACACAACTCATGGCATACGAAAATAAATTATTCATTTGCTTTACAAATTAGTTTCACGATATTGTACAAACAGTACTTCCTAATAAATAATATAAAATATATTAAGTAGGTTTCCATTGAAAGTTTTAAATTTTATTAAATTGACTACTCAAAATTTGTTTTATATTTATAATATGTTTGTTGTGAAAAAAGAGTACTGATGTGTTTCAAAAAAAATATTAACTACTAAAAAAATTAATTTTGGTTCACATATGTTCTTCATTGGTATATAAAATGTTTTATACGTATAGAGTACAAGAGTACCAATTTAAGAATTTAAGTATGAATTTTGTGTATAATTATCAATCGATCAATTTAAATATTTATGGTACCTATCCTAAAAAAAAAGGTAATTTTTATAATTTTATAGTAACTTTTCAGAAAACTAAAGATAAATAGATTAAACTTACAGAAAACCCACTTATACCAATATTGATTGTTACACAATTTGTTGTATAATATATAATAAATATAGTAATAATTATACAGAAAATATATAAATGAAAACTATTAAATTATAAATTAACAATATATGTGATGTTTAAGTTAATTAGAATACACTTCCAACTTTTCTATTATGTATTAAAGTTGATAGATTTTAAATTTCATCCTAAAAAGGTATTTTAAATTTAAAATTATAATAACATTTCAACCATAATAATAATAATAATAATAAAAATAATAAATTAATTAATCATATCAACCAAAATTTAATTAAATAAAAATTCGAAGTTAGATTTTTGGCAAAAATGATTATTTCTATTTAATTTTCCAATTATTATTTATTAATATTATTTTTCTTTCTTTCTGAAGATGCAATTTGTAATTTAAAGTTTAGATATTAGACATTTAATATGTTATAAATAACACTATCCTAATACCAAAAACATCTTGAAAATCTATATTTATAGTTTCCATAAGCTATGTACTAACATTTTCTATGTATATTTATATGTAAATTTAAATTTATGTATATTCCCATGTATACGAGTATATTTCTTATATATTAGCATTTTCAAATATACTCTATGGAACATCAAAGTTCGTAGACGTTTTTCGAATATAATAATTAGTAATAAAGCTCCGAAGTGGTCAACAATACTGGGCTATTACACTATTGTTCCACAAAATATTTGTTCCAATTCACTTTTGTTCCACACTATACTTCATCCAAATGTGGAACAAACATAGTGTGGAACAACATTTTTTCTATTTCATCGGAACAAATGATTAAGAAAATGTTATCATATCCCCATAATATGCACTTACACAATCGTTATTTGTTATCCTGTATTTTTATTTTGTTCTATGTTTATGTTTATTATGTTTGGTTTGTTGGTATTTTTTTTTTCGTTTATCGTTTTCCGTTTGATTACGTTTAAAAATTTTAATCTTTATTTATCATGTATAACGTTATTTTAACGTAAGCAAGACCTGACTTAAAATTTAAAAGACCATTTCACTAAAAAATAATATCCGTTTCCTGTATTTCATCCAAATTTTGTTTTCATTTTTTAAAATTAGAAACATCTATTTGTAAGCCTCAATCATGAATTAATTTATTGTAGTTGGTGCTTAATGCTCATATTGGGTGAATATTTTAGTGTAAAGTTTTAAGTAGGTACATTATTAAAATTTTCCTATATTTTAAAGTTATAATACAATGCACATTTTATGCTCAAAAAAAAAAAATAATAATCTTAAATCTTTTATAGGTATTTTTCAGTTTTTGCAAATTCACTTATACTGAACATACATTTCCAGAGACCGTCAATATCAGTCCCTATTTTTCATAAAAATTCGTATTACATATTTTTTAATGTACAATGGTTTGATACAGAACTAGGGTGACCATATTTATGAAAGAAAAAAACGGGACAAATATGTTCTCAAAAAAAAAAGTCAACATTTTTTTTAACTTCTATATTATATGCAATAAAAATAATTTTTAATTAATTTGATATTTTAATTAAAAATTGATTTGCATTCTATTTTTGCTGTGAGATTGAAAAAAAAAATTACTTAAAATATTCTTTATTTTTATTGAGTTGATTATTTCGAATTATTTGAGTCGATTGTTCATAATTTTCTTCATTACATTCTTTGACATTATTTTTTTTTGATGAACTGATTGCATTTAATAGTTTTAGTTGTGTTAACAAAAAATCATAAAAATCATTACAGGAATATTTTTAAAATTATTTATAAGAATTATTATTGCTTTAACAATTGGTACGAGAAAACTATTTTTTTCGTCGGTCCATAAAATATTTGTGATTGATAATAATATTTCTATTATTGCATTAGTTAATCTGCAAAGGTGCAGTGAACGTATATTTCTTTTTAGGCATTTTAAAAAAACAATACAAATGATAACACTAACGACTCACAACAATTTAAATAAAATGAACTAATACATAGTGGCTATAACATTAATAACACAAGATCGTTGCAATGTACACACGTTATTGCACGACTATGTTCGATTTTTCGATTAATATACCTAATATACCTATTATACCGAATATGGTTGATTATAAATAATACTGTACATTGGTAAACTATTTAATATTGATTTCTTTAGAAGTCTCACACATAAGTTCGTAGTACATACATATATACTATATGACATGTCTTATTTTTTTTTCTTTTGCTCTCGGTTTAAAATTTTTATAGAAGTAACGTGATTAAAACGGGACCCTATTCTAAAAACGGGACAAAAAGCGTCCCGTTCAAAGTTTGTCGGGACAACGGGACATAATGATAAAAAAAGGGACAATCCCGTTTTAAACGGAACGTATGGTTACCCTATACAGAACCCACATTTACTAATAGTTTAATATCTAATTATCAAACAATAAATAAAATATTTACCTAACTAATATCATATTATATATACAATAATATATATATATATATATATATACATTTTAATATAATTCAAAAGCATAATTTTATTTTCCATATCAACAAATGAATAATAAATTGTTTAAGTTATTACTAAGTTTACACTTTACAAGTACCGATTACTGTTGACGGTTTGTAGTTAAATTTTTATTTTTTCTCATTTATTTACAGCTATAATAAAATAATTTCAATATTTAAATAACTATTTTTTCATGCTATATTTCAAATACGTAAAAATATTACTTAATTTATGAGCAATATTGATGGTGGATGAATGATAATAATGTAATGATCCAACAATACTTCAGCATAGCTCTCAACGATTAACTTTGTAGTTTTAGTTAGGTATAATCCATTATGATGAGACTCGATTCCTTTCTTCGAAATTTGAGAGCATTTTTGCTGCTATAGATTAAGGAAGAGAAATATTTTAACAAATATACGAAATTATTGTTTATGTTTAAATAACAAATAAATGATGGTCAATAAGTGTAAGTAATATATTTTTTATCAAAAATTATGAATGTTCAATTATTCAAATGTCAATTACTCGGTTTTCATAGAAGGCACTGTCTACCAAGAAGTACGCTGTCAGCAAAATCATATTAAATCATATGATCAAATTTATAAAAACATCTCCTGTAGTTATATGTGTCGCGTTTCGTTCGTTTATATTTCGGAAATTAGTGCTCAAATTATTTCAAAATAATGAGAATCTAATATTTATAAAGTGATTTATAAATTTCATTAAATATGTCTAACAAGTTCATTGTATATAAAGAGAACATAATCTTGACTATTACAGGTAAGACTTAAAAAAAAAATCTACGTATCGGTTGGTAGTATTGAAGCCATTGCAAACAATCAGCATACCACACTTACGAGTGAGTGCATGTGTACGTTAATCATTATAAAATAAACAAAATAACAAAAGTAGGTATGCGTAAATGCGTAAATTGATCGATATTTAATTTGGCTGTTATTTAGAATTATTTTAGTTGCAAGGGGTTCCTCCTGGTTTGATGGTTAAATTCTACACAAAAAATTTAATTTGTTAACTACATAATATACTACATAAAATATGATATTTCGATCATGTTTTTTATTTTTAAAAATTGTGAAATGTACAGTAAAATTATTATATATCATCAATTCTAAAAATGCAATTCAACAATGTGTATGCGGTATGAAAATACGTCTGTAACTAAGCAAATATTAACTGTATGATAACCTATGTATATCTAGACATAATTTGATGTAAGCATGAAAATGGACGCCAGTCAAATACTCAAAAACCATTTAAAATGTGTGTTTAATATTCTTATATTTTTATTGGATATTAAGATTTATTATTGGTCTTGATAACTATTTCTTATGGTGATCTTTATTTTTACAATATAACAATTTTAAATAAACATATCCAGTGACGTATTCGTCGTCGTCGTCGTGTTTGGGTGGTGATTTTATTTTTCCATAACATTCGATGTTGTCACAGATGAATTAAATATTAATATCAATCGTGTTTACGTATTAAATTATTACATACACGTTACGGTTTACCAAACGATGGATTTACCAACGACATACAGAATACTTGTGTACAAATAACGATTGTTTGATTAAACGAGAATGTCGGACACGAAGAAAGACTAAAATAAATCACCTATATTATGATAATAGATTAAATTTTAAAATGCATTTTCATCGGCAATTCGATACCTAAGAATATAATAAAATAAAACATCGGCGGTCTCGATTCATAACGTCATTTTACTAACGCGTGGATTTAGTATTTTTAGTAGGAGTGAAAAAGCAATTCGTTTTCTTACCACCAACTGATTTTATGCCGGAACCACAGTTTATTGAAGAGTGTGCCGAGTGAACTAGTAACAAAAATACCGACGTCAATGTAATCCATGGCGGTCTTGGTGGCCACCAACTGTGTCGGTAACTTCTTGTATATTGTTGTAGTTCCCCCATGTTTACATCTTCATCACCATAAACTAACGTATTCAATAAATCTGTAATAAATAACAGTTATAATATTAAACCGAATTATTTAATACATTTCATTTTTACGTAAACTGAAAATGAAATATACCTAAATACAGAGAAAGGCATAAGTACAAATATTGAATAATTGTATAAATCATGTAGCTGCAAACGCGAGAACACAGACCGACGTATAATAGGTATATATGATGAATAATTAATATTTATTAGTAAACATTAAAAGTGAAATACATCAAAATCATAAAATCTAGTATACGTACTATTTCACGCTTACATTGCGTTTTGATTACGTTTTTATAACTAACGTACGGTGTTTTTTTTTTACAATTTTATGACTTGGTGATAAAATGACCACGGAAAACTTAAAGGTCAAAATATCATTCGATTATACTGGATAATTCATTAGATATGCCAAACTTTTTATACCAACAGGATGTTGAGACTTTCTGTGAATTATCACAATAAAAATTGTCACAGACGTAATACCATCATATAAACTACATATTATAAAAACACTTATATTATCTATTTTTTTTTCAGGATGAAAATAACTATGTCATAATAGAGAAAAACATTTATGAATACAAACTAAATTTAGATAAAAAATAGTTCGATTCTTTCCAAACAATTTGATCTCATATAATCTAGAATTTAGAGACGTATTATTTATGATAAGTAGTAATCACAGCAATTTCAAAATAGTTAAAGTAACTATATATATACAAACCATGCGGAAATTAAACATGCTTTATGTACGTATGTTAAATCCAACAGGATTATTAATGTTTCTCATTATACACTGTTTAGTCTACAGTATTGTGTATAAGTGGTGCAGCGTGGCAAAGGCTGTTTGATGTAGAGTCTTAATGATTAAAATGCAAAGGTTGATCGGTAGTATGTAAGCACGCCAGTTGAGATATCGTATGGAATCTATTTCAACAAGTTAAAGTATAATATATTGTTTGATGTTCAAACATTAATTAAGACGTCGAAAATTCTTTAGATAATTTCACATTAGCAAAACTAAATTTGTTCAGTTAAGTATTTTTAACTGTTTTTCACTCTATAATTAAGCAAATATTATAAATAATTATTTAATAAATTCAATGTTATTATCATTAGGTAAATACTTTTTTATTTTTTTTAATCTTAAAAATAATTTTATTTCAGAGTTATTTTTTTCTTTCTAAGCTATAATATTACACAATATGTTACTTTTATTTCCATATTTATTTAAAAAAAAAAAATAGCTTATTTTTTAGTTAACACGAATAAATAAAATAATGTTTAAAGATATGTTTAAGTTAAAAAAATAGTTTTAAAATATAATAAAATATATTGCGTATATTCTTCGAATACATTAATTGGGATTTTAATTATATTCTGTTGGTTGGTAATATATGCGAAATGGTGTTATTAAAAATTTAAAACACGATAAGTATTCAAAGTATCATTTTTAAAACATTTTTAACACATCTTTTTTAAGGAAAAGTTATTGAAGAGAGAAGCACTTAGCAATGTGTTGACACAATCAACATATAAACCAACTATCATTATAATCGCAATAAATGATAAATATTATTGCTATCATACTATAGGAACGTAAATTTCTCTAATTATCGAATAAAAAAAGAAATAAGATACTGGTACAATTCAAGTTTAAGCTTTTATCGTTTTACTGTTAATTCATTGAATCAGTGGCACTGATGTCACAGTAACGTATTTAAAATGCGGGTTTAATAAATTGAGTTCCATTTTATTAATTTTAGATAAATTGAGTCCCACCCCCCAAAAAAAAAGGTAAATCGAGTCCCTCATATAAAAATGAAATCGGTAAATTGAGTCCCTTGTATACAAATTAAAGCGGTAATTTGAAATATGGTTAAATGCCGTTTTTTTTATTTCACACACTTTTAATTATATTAACACAATTGTATACTATGTACATTAAACTTACATTTATCAGTTATCACATCCAGCGGTGTTGTAGATGGTTAGGTACTAGGTAATAAAAATGTCGCGTAATAATACGCAGCGAAATATAATAATATTTAACGATGTAACGATAAGATACACTTACCTATCGTACTCGGTTATTTTATAACTATAACAAAGATTATATATATTATTTAAACACATTTAAATAAATTTAATACATTAAATATTTTAAACGGGGCTTAATTTGCCGTTTTAACTGTTATACGAAGGACTCAGTTTACCTATTTAAATTTTATACGTAGGACTCAGTTTACCAATCTCAATATTATTATTGGGACTCAGTTTACCTCTTTCGAAAAAAAGATAAATTAATTTGGGACTTAATTTAGCTACGCCCTTAAAATGTAAGCACGATACGTAACTCTCTGCTTCCAACTGCCTCTATAAACTGTTACAGATCTATAGCGGTCCATCGCAATGAATAAGTTCATAAATTAAATTGAAATTGTAATCATGTAAATGATTTTTCAATTATAGAGTAGATAATTAGAGTTAATGAATCAATTAATAAATTACCAACGGTCAGCCCGTTACCGTCGCAGGTTAGCAAAACAGCAGAGTTAATGTACATACGAATAGAAAATAATTGATAAAAACCGATATAACATATTCGGAACCCACGATCATACCAGCAAGAATTCTGAGTGCATAAGTGCATTTTTTTTTTAGAAAATAAAAGATAAACCAAAAATGTTGTAATAACATTTTTTATAGACAGTCTACAATTTAGGTTCTATAAAATTTTATGCTTAATGCAATATATTTTAAATTAAATAAAAAAAAAACCTAAAACCACCCCTATTTTGTGACACGTGAAGGGGGTAATATTCACCAAATTTAACTCATATAACTTTTTTATAGTAATGAAAAAAACTAGAGAGGTGAGAAATTAAAAATATTTAACTTTCTTCTCTCCCACCCTATAACTATGGCTATCTTAATCGTATTATTATTGAAACTATTGAGTTAACATACTCGTATTAATATTATATATATTTCTAATTTTCTTACGTTTACCCGAATCTTCCAATAAAACAATCAATCCAATTAATATTTAACAACTTTTTTTAAAAAATTTAATTTCTTATCATTCTCATTCTAATCATCCTCCATGGAGGTTTTTGTTGTATCATCATTCGTTATTTCGATATACTTATAAAATCTTTAAAAAATTAATTTTTTAAATAAATTAAATATTTGATATTTTATAATTTTTTATACAAAATAATAAATGTATAAAAAATTGTATAGATAAGTTTTTTAACAAAAATATAAATATCTATAAATTAAGCTATGTACATTTTTACGATAAATTTAATAGTTTTAGATTATATTCAAAAAACGACAAAACAACCCTATTTTCCAATTGTTCAACCCCCTTGCGGCACGTGAAGGGGATTAGTAATTATAACCAAATTTAATTCAAATTTCTTTCTTATATAAATGAACAAAATGAGGAGGTGAGAAATCAAAAATATTATTTTTTTTTCACCATAACTAAGGGCTACTCAACTGTCAATGATATCTCTGTATTGATGTTACAAGAGAAAAATCGCTTTCCAAATAAAATTTATTTTGATTGATGTTCGCGATGATTTTAATTTATCAACATTTATTTAAAATATGAATTATTTATTTTGTTTTATCTATTAGACGTCGTTTATTTACGCTTAGTTTTTAATGCACTTATTTAAGTAGTATGGGCGCGGTAAAGCAACACTTAAGATGTTCGAGTATGCTTTTGATTTTAAGTGAGCGTACGTGATCTATTGTCACACACGTGAAGCATTATTATATTGTACATAGATAATATCTACAGAGTCACCGATGTTCATTGGCTCCTCCTGTCGTTGAATCGTAAAACAATCATTTTATATTTGTGTTTAAGGTGCCCACGATAAGTACATGACGAATAATAACTATTAAGAAAACAGATATTGTAAATAAAAGTTTAGCAAAATTGAACCTGTGGGGATGACAACCAAGAGAAAAATCATTTTAAACATCGAATGGCTTTGTTTGTGTTTAATCACAGTAAGTTTAAATTAGTTAACAAAATATCGAATTGTTGTCAAAGTGAAAAGAAACCAAAACGGCTAGGAAAAAAATTATTTGAAACAAATTATTTTCTCGCATTACTAGCGAGAACTTAATATTTATATTTCTACTACGATTTTAGACAATCTTTTTTGAGAATTTATATTTAAGTTTAAAAACTTGATGTTCATGTCAATTCAAATTGAGGCTGCCGATTAAATTAGTTCATTTTTAGTAAACGGAAAAAAATCGTTTTAACCGTGAAGTCCAAAACAAAGACTTTCGGTCCTCAGCTGCCAATCATAATCGTTACGAGTACATGATCTTGCGTGGTTAAAATGTAACATAATAAGATTAATAAATGCTCGGTTGAATTCATGCATGATTTTTTAGGTGATAAAATTATTTTTTTCTTTGCTTAGTAAATTGTGCATTTTTTTTGTACATCAAACTAAATATAATTAATCATTTAACAATTTATAATATTCTAATTATTATAACTATGGCTGGGATTTTCATGCACATAGCATTTTTTTTCAATTTGCTCTGCGATACTCTTATAGTTATAAAACATAAACATGTAAATTTAAATGAGAAAAAATTGTATACTGCATTTATTTGCATTTTTCAATAATTTTTAATTAAAAAGTAATTTTCTTCTTTTAAAAGATCATTTTAGGTCATTTTTTAAGTTTTTGGGTTCAAAATTCAACTTTGATTTTTTTTATAAAGATTTTACGGATAAATGCGATTTCTATATGATTATACCTGGGAACCTACTTGCATTATATATCGGACAATAGTAATATCAAAAACTAATAACGAATGACGGCGTTTATAGCAAAATTAACGTGGTATATTTAGAATCATAAGATATCCTGTTTAATAATCGATGTCATTCAGTATAAGTTTTTTTATTAAAAGTCGTACAACATGGGTATTAATTTTATTTTATTTCATTCAAAATGCCAAA